TCAAAAAACATTTATTATTATTATTATTATTATTATTATTATTATTATGTTGAAAATAGTTGATGTTTCCTTGATGAATAGAAAGTTCAGAAGAACAGCATTTATCTCAAATAGAAGTCTTTTGTAACATTATAAATGACTTTATCATCACTTTTGATCAATTTTAAGCATCCTTACTAAATAAAAAGAATACTTTCTATAATTTATTAAATATAAAAATGAATATATATATATATACCACATAGAAAACATTTTAAATAGTACAAATATTTCCCAATATTACTGCTTTTGCTGTATTTTGGATCAAATAAATGCAGGCTTGCTCAGCAGAAGAGACTTCTTTAAAAAACATTAAAAATCTTACTGTTTAAAAACTTATGACTGGTAGATTATTTTTTTTATGTTAAAATATTTTCTCCTATCCCAGTTTAATATGCAGAGACAACAGTAAGTAAACCATGACTTCCCAAAGCGTGTAAACACTGAGGCTCTGTGGCGCTATCAAAACACTGCTCTGTTTTTTGAGCGGTCCGACGTGTCAGCTTCTGGCTCAAGCAGCGGTGTGAGGCAAGCAAGGCACTGCAGGATTGTCTGGTTTTAAGGAGTGATCGTGTACTGTACCTGTGTTTGTCTCTCTGCAGTGTCCGAGGTGCAGACGCCGGGAACGGCATCCGAGTGTTCATCCCAGACATCGGCATGTTCGTGCTGGGTCTGGTCACGTGGCTCCTGTGCCGCAGTCTGGAGAATGTGTCTCAGCACAACAGCGACTTTGAGCTGGACGATCAGGTGAGAAAACACAGCAACACACAGACTCCCGAAGCCAACTCTATAGTGAGCAGTCGGCATTCTTCAGTGCTTTCGTTTAGACGCCAAGACTGAGCCATATGGTCAAAAATAGGATCACAATATCATTCCATATCAGTTTTTCTCACAATATTCATTTCATAGCATTAATAGAGAAGGAAATGCTTTCCCACGTGTTTGTTTAGACCTCAAGAATGAATAAAGATGCAAGTTGTGTGTTGACATGTAAACTCCACAGATTAGCTACCTTTTCATTTGACCCCAATGAAATGTGTTTTATTTTGCCCCAAACTTATTAGTTGGTGCAAATTCATCATTAAAAATGGTGTTGAAAAGAATTCATGAAAATAAACCATAATCTTTTAAAATGTAATCAAAAGAAAATATAACAGTTAATGTACAATTCTTTTTTTTTTTTGTTAAATAAGGTACTCTACATCTGAACAAGTGTACTGTATGAATTAAAACATGGATGGACGAATATCTTGGTTATATAATGTTTAAAATAAAATATTGCTAATGCATTCCACATGCTTGCTATAGACCACAGGAATGAGTATAAATCTAAATTGTTTTAAACTTCACAGACTAAACCATCTTTTAATTTAGGCCCAGTTGAATACTTTTTATCTTTTTCAGATTCAGTTTTCTCATTTATTTTTCCAGATTCTCTTGTATGATTTAGTGCGAATTCGTCATTAAATATTGTGTCTAATTAAACAAATTCATGAAATGAAAAAAAAAAAAGTATTTTAAAATATAGCAATTAGTTTATTTATGTATTTATTTGCTTGTTTGTTTTTTAATCTATTAATTTAGGCCCAATTAAATATGTTTTATTTTATTAAAATTTTAAAGGGGTCATATGATGCTGCTAAAAAGAACAGTATTTTGTGTATTTGGTGTAATGAAATGTGTTTATGTGGTTTAAGGTTAAAAAAACACATTATTTTCCACATACTGTACATTATTGTTTCTCCTCTATGCCCCGCCTTCTGAAACACGTCGATTTTTACAAAGCTCATCGGTCTGAAAAGCGAGGTGTGCTGTGATTGGCCAGCTATCCAGTGCGTTGTGATTGGCCGAATGTCTCAAGCGTGTGACGGAAATGTTACGCCTCTTACCATATTTGGAAACACACAGCGTCTCCACGACAACAATACTACAGCAAGAATAAAAGTTACGCCTTCTTTCTTTGCGTAAACATTTGGGCGGCGTTATGCAAATCTTCCCACATAGTGACGTAGACATGTGGGGGCGTGTTTAAACGAGGCGTGGACGAGTCTTAACTTTTATAAAGAATATCTCTTTGGGTTTGAGACTTTAATCTTTACGATTTTACGGATCTTTATGTATATGCACGAACTGCTTGTAACACTCCAAAGACAAAGGAACACATGAAATCCCGTCATATGACCCCTTTAAGTCTGTGTTTTCAGTTTTATTTTATCTGGAATAAGTATTGTATGATTTAGTGCAAATTGACAATTTATTCAGTGTAATCAAAAGAAAATTTAACAAATTAAAAAATTGCATTTTCAATCGTGTGTGACCAGTCATGTGTTCCCGGGGCTTATTGCTTTATTTTAGTTGTATGATATTCCTTGCAATAATAATAATAATAGCATTAAAAATAGTCAGTGACTTGCTTAAAGAGTTTTTAGCAACATGAAGCTGTTTGCCAGACTGTGTAGGATAAATATCGAACTAACTCAAAAGCTTATTATCAATATATTGTGGATTTTTTCCCCAGTAATAAATATCGATTTATCACCCAGCACTACCTGACATGTAAATTTCACCTATATAGAGTTGTATATCATCTCGCACTTCTTCCCTCACTGCAGGAGACTCTTTCACTTCCAGCTGAAGGCCGTTCTGGCTCTAAATGATGAAGCGCAGCTTTGTGGAGGAAAATACTGAAAACACATAACTATCTGGATGAATACCAGCTTCTCCACAGGCTGTCATTGTTTCCCTTGCGCTTGATTATTAGGAAATCAGACCTGATGCTGATGCTATGATAAAGACCACAGTGTGATTAGATGAACAAATCCAATGATAATGACATTGATGAAATATTCACTTGTTTAGCAAAGAGCATTTATTTAAATGACATTCTCGGATTAATATGACAGCCTGAAACGATGCATAAATGTGTATTTAAGTCAGCGAGGACCCTTCGTGTCAATAAGGCAAGCCTACTCTCTGCACAAATAAACTAGTGGAGATTCGTGTGGCCTAATTCACTTTCGAGAGATCGCTTTCTCACTCACTGCATCTAAAAATATACAGAATCGTTTAAATATCATGTGTGTGACCAGTTAATTGATCTAGAAAGAATACAATATTTTGAGTGTATTGATTTCCACTAAGTGCTTGCTTCTTCTGCCATATAAGATCCTTCAGTTCCTATGAAAACATACCTTGAGCGGATGTCATTTGGTAATTTTGTGCCTATAGACAATAGGAAAAAGATGCATAATGTAGCTAAACACTAGCTAAACATGCTTTAGAAAAGCTGATAATGAAATACAAGTGCGAGCAGAAATGATCAGAATCCAGCGGATTTGGGAAGCTACTGTAAAAAAGTAGATGAAAAGGACTTCATAATTGAAACAATACTGTATTGGTGCTTGTCACATCATATTTCGCGTGTGAGTGATTCATTAAACAAGACATTTGTTATTTAATAGTTTTACCTAAAATGACAAATACTTTTTATCACAGACTTCAATGGAGGAAACTGAAGAAAAATAAGAAAACACAATAGGAGCCTATGAACATTTAAAACAATAAGCAGTGTTGTGGAAAGTTACTTTTAAAAGTAATGCATTACGATGTTGCATTACTCCATAAAAAGTAACTAATTATGTTACATGGTTACTTTTTATGGAAAGTAATGTTACGTTACTTTTGCATTACTTTTTAAATCTGGACAGGGCTTGCTTGTTTGTTTTTAAAATAAAAAAGTTATATTTTTCTTCTTCTTTCTTTCTTTCTTTCTTTATATAGCACTATATAAATACAACTTAGTTGCCCAAAGTGCTTTACGAGGTACACATAGAAAATAACACATCAACATGAAGTAAATAGCGTAAAAAAAAATTAAAAAAAAAATATATATATATAATAATACAGTCCTAAAGCAATGCCCATTTGAAAATGCCATAGAGAATAAATGCATTTTTAATTTGGATCTAAAAATAGCCAGATTTTTGGCAAATATAAAAGCCTTTTCGGACCAGAAGTGAAATGAATGCGCCTCAGGCTGAAGGGAAAGTACAGTAGAATGCAGAAGAAGACATTTCAACACACTTCAGCAATAAACAAAGACACACAAATGTTTGTCTAGAGTAATATATATATTTTTTTATATTTTTAAACTTATTTGAAAAAGTAACTCAGATATTTCTTGTAAATTAAAAAGTAATGCGTTACTTTACTAGTTACTTGAAAAAAGTAATCTGATAGCGTAACTCGCGTTACTTGTAATGCGTTCCCCCCAACACTGACAGTAGGAATAGTGTTACTCTGTATTGCTTACTAAATTAAATGCAATACAGAAGTACAAAAACAAATCGCAGAAAAAACAACCCATTTTTCTCTTCAGTTTCTTACGGAAATTACACGTGCCGCTCGTTTCTTGGTTTTTAAGGAAGGATCAGGTGGTATTTGGGCCGAACATCACGCCAGCGCTGGCTCATGTGTGACATTTGTATTGCTCGTTTTGCCTCAAACTGGCATCTTTGCCTCTTCATGCAACACTGGTAGAAAACGGTTTATTTTCAATGGCTCCTCTCAGCTTCCTTTGCAATCAGTCCAGTGTTTATTCAGGTAAATGTCCTGTCTGATGTGAGGTCTAACGTTTGGGCAGCCGCACAGAGACCGCATAGACTCTGTCACGTAACGAATTATGTGTCTTCTAATTAGTAGTGTTTGAGTAGAGCTGGTTGACTAGAGGTGTGCTACTTCTAGGCTACTTTTCTTCACCTGACAGTCAAAATAAGTTCCAGATACTTACTGTTTTCCAAAATATACGTCTAGTTTTTTATCATTTGAAATGTGCTGAAATTTATCTTCCAAAGTGACTTATGTAGTACAATTAAAGGAATAGTTCAGCCAAAAATGAAAGTTTGCTGAAAATGTATATCAGTGTCTCAGCAATGGATGCTCTGCAGTGAATGGGTGCCGTCATAATGAGAGTCCAAACAGCTGATAAAAACAACACAATAATCCACAGCACTCCAGTCCATCAGATAACATCTGGAGAAGACAAAAGCTGAAACACATCCAGCATTAAGACGCTTTTAACTAAAATACATAGTCTATAATCCATAATAACGCTTCCTGCAGTGAAAAAGTGCATCTGCTGTTGTCTCTCACATCAGAATCCAGCCACATATGTGTTTAGAGCTGTTTAAACGCTGCTTGATCTGTGCAGATTTCTCTCCTGATTCACACCAGAACACTTTTTCAGAAATGAAACTGAGGTCTGTCAAATGTTAGTATAATATGTAATGAATATAATGTTTTACCGCTTCGGTCTGTATAATCAAGCATACAAGCTACTGAGTTTGCCAAATGCATGCAGCATTAATCATTGGTTGAATATTTGCATTGTCACTGGACATTCAGCGCCCTCATGTTTCCTAATCACTCACTTTCTTAATGCCATTACCAATGCATTCACATTCCAACACGTGTGTGAGTGTGTGTGTGTGTGTGTGTGTGTGTGTGTGTGAATGAGTCTGTGTGTGAGAGTGTGAGTGTGAGTGTGTGTGTGTGTGTGTGTGTGTGTGTGTGTGTGTGTGTGTGTGTGTGTGTGTGTGTGAGTGTGCAGGAGGTTCACATCTGGAATACATTTGCTGGTGTTGTTTTTTCGGTGGCGGTGCTAAAGTTACCAACCCCCCAACCTTGTCTTTTTCTCCTCTCACTGATTATTTTTCTTTGTATTTCACTCTCTCTCTCTCTCTGATCCATATTTTCTCAGGAGTTTAATTATTTTCTGATTTGGTGACATGCCATATAGGTGGTGTATTGTTGTTTAAACAGGCGTTATTGGTCGATGGGACGCTCGGTCGGTTGCTGGTAAAATATTGTAATGCTTTCCCACATGCTCAGACCTTTATGGATCGTGACAGGCAGATAATTAAGACCACACTGTAAGTGCTTAAAGGTGTGCGAATGAAGTCAGGTTGTTTTAATATTATTATTCTTACTACAGAAAACAACTAGCAGTAGCTCTTCCAAGAACTACAGGCCAGCATGTAAATACGACAGTGACAGCTAACACCAAATATAGATTTATGAACAATAAATACAAGGAGAATTACTGATAGTCTTTGACTCATGATAGACAATAGCTGATATTATGCTGATAGACGTGAACTTTAATGAAGACAAATGTGAAGTATATACATTTGTTTCATAGTATGCAAGCCTTTTTTGTGTAATATATTTCTGTCCCTGCAGCACAAAAGCAGTGTTAAGTTGCTGGGGTATATTTGTAGCAATAGCCAACAATACATTGTATGGGTCACAATTATAGATTTCTCTTTTATGCCAAAAATCATTAGGATATTAAGTAAAGATCATGTTACATGAAGATATTTTGTAAATGTCCTACCATAAATATATCAAAACTTAATTTTTGATTAGTAATATGCATTGCTAAGAACTTCATTCGGACAACTTTAAAGATGATTTTCTCAATATTTAGATTTTTTTGCACCCTCAGATTCCAGATATTCAAATAGTTGTATCTCGGCCAAATATTGTCCGATCCTAACAAACCATACATCAATGGAAGCTTATTTATTCAGCTTTCAGATGATGTATGCGTCTCAATTTCGAAAAATGTACCCTTATGACTGGTTTTGTGCTCCAGGGTCACATTTAATCACAGTGAGTCTCTGAAATTAACTTTAACTCACCAGCCATATGCAGTATATACAATGTACAAAAATGCTGGATTAAAAACAACCCGACTTGGGTTATTTGGCAACCCAGCGCTGGGTAAATATTGGACAGAACACATGCTAGGTTATTCTGCCCCAGCTAGTTGGGTTAAATGTTATTACCCACCATGCTGGGTTGTTTTATTTAAGTCAACTATTGTTTAAAAATGACTATTGCTGGCTTAAAATAGGCTGGAAATTAAAAATCACACACAGAATTATTTGCGGCAACAGCAATAATCAAAAGATGAACATTTATTAATAAGCAAGAACACCCGAAGACAAATTGAATTTATTTGGGTGAATACAGCATAAATTACAATATTACAGATACTATTATAGTTTTTAATAATATTTTGAATCAGTTTTGTATTTATATTTTTCGTTCTAGTAATTCCATTTAACTTTTAGTTGTTTGTGTGTAATTTTTATTCATGTCTAATTGAGTTTTAGTTATTTTATTACGTCAAGTTAAACTAAATTACACTCTAAAAAATGCTGGGTTAAATATAACCCAGCGATGGGTTAAAAGGGGACAAACCCAGCTATTGGGTTGTTTTAACCCAACGCTGGGTTATATTTAACCCAGCATTTTTTAGAGTGTAGTTTCAGTTAACTATAACAACCCTGACTGCGATAAACTGAATCCTACCTGTCGCAAATTCTCCACATAATATATCTCACTGCGATGAATGGTAAACATTTAGAAGATTAGCGAGCAGCTTGTGAGTTCATAAAGTAATCAGCTATTTGTCCACATTGCAGCGGTACACTTTCAGAGCCAATCGAAAGAGGTTTTACAGTCGTGAACGTGAATTTTGACCAATGAGGTTTTGAAGTGGGCGGGGCTTCCAGTACAGTGCTACAGAAACAAACAAAAAAACAAATCAACATACTGTGTTGACACGGTTAGGGAGAAAACCAAATGTGAAATCATTTGAACTTGTTGCTATTGATGGTGATTTTGAAACTGACACAAGGGAAACTATCACAGGTAGTGCGGATAATCTCAAATTGGCAAAATAATGTTATATAAATCGGCCTATCTTATCTATTTTAATTACTACTTAAATCATTTATTCTTTAGATATAATTCAAAACCTATCAAACTGATTTCCGTTATTGATTTCAGCACCATGAATCTCCATTAATTACACGTTCCTTAGTTCATCAATTTGATTGCCTGAAGAATTTCTGAAATACACGCCTCTGAATGAAATGCAAATTCCATGCTCTGCAAGTGAATGGGTGCCGTCAGAATGAGAGTCCAAACAGCTGATAAAAACATCACAATAATCCACAGCACTCCAGTCCATCAGTTACCATCCGGAGAAGACACAAGCTGCATGTTTGTAAGAAGCAAATCCTTTAAAATGTCTTTAATTCAGAAAATGGTCTTTAATAATGTTCTCAAAACGTTAGCGCAAAAACATTACTAATGCATCATTCATGAAATGTTTTTTCTGAAATGGATTTAACTTTTATTAAACATTAATACTTAGTTTCAGACGGTTCAGAGAATATTCAAAAGTAACTTTCCCATAATGTTTGCAAAATGATACAGTGTACTGTTAACGTTTTCTCTAACCTTTACATAACCAAGAAAAATGATACTGTATAATGTGAATTTTTGTTAATCCTTCAAAACTCTATCTTGAAGAACTGTGTTTTTTCTGTGAGTGGATCTTTCTTGTGGCATCATTTGGTCTGCCAATCCTTCCACCCGTCCCCAATAAACTGGGTCACATTTAATATTCCAGAATAAGACTGAATTTCTGGTTTTGAGTATCACTCACCGACCCAAACAATGTTTATCTGAACCTGACGGATGTTGTCTTTGAAGCTGAAGTCTATTCTGACAGTGAGAATTGAGTTTTGCTGAGTTATGGGTTGTTTGAATTTAATAAAATGTGTGCCGGGGAGAACTGGAAGCTCTCTTTAACTCCTGCAGCCTTTCTCAGAGAGAACTGATTCATCTTACAACACTGTGATTTATTTACTTATTTATTTATTTTCTCAAAAAGAAAGAAGGACCGATTAGTTTGTTCCTATATTTTATTACTGACTATTTACTTGTCTTTAACAGTTTAATGTTTGAAATGTATATTAGTCTGGTTGTTTTTCTGTGGTATTTTTTGTTAAAACCATAAGCAAAAGTTCCTCTTGTAGGCCTAAGTGTTCTGTAGGCTGCTGCTTTTTGCTCGTGTTATTCAGCTACAACAGAACGCTTTGTAAAAAGACAGAATAAATATGTTTGATGACATCTAAATGTTTGACTTAATATTTTTTTTATTGTTTTTTTTTACCTCATTGGATTAAAACTAGGAATCGATAAAATGCAAACGATACCCAACCCTATTCATAACACAAACTGATACAACAATCTCTCACAATAATGTGGTATTTGGACATTTCTGATCAATCAAAGCATTTCATAAATGCCAAATGTTCTGTGAATTTATAGGCCCTATCAACAGTTTGGGGTCAGCAAGATAGATCTCTAAAAATACAGTAAAACAGTAATATTGTGAAATATTATTACAATTTCAAACAGCAGTGTTCTCTGTGAATCTCTGTTAAACTGTAATGTATTTCTGTGATGCGCAGCTGTATTTTCAGCATCATTCCTCCAGTCTTCAGTGTCACATGATCTTCAGAAATCAGTATAATATGCTGATCTGCTGCTCAACAAACATTTCTGATTATCATCAATGTTGAAAACAGTCGTGCTGCACAATATTTTTGTGGAAACCGTGATGCATTTTATTTTTCAGGATTCACAGATGAATAGAAAGTTCAGAAGAACAGCATTTATTGGATTATGTGTATTATGCAACCAGACTCAAACGCTTCAAAAAAGTGGTGTTTCTGTAGGTAACATCTAACGGTCTACCCAGAACCGTTGGATTGGAAGTTATAAAGAAAAAAATGAAACTTGCACTTGCTGTACCTCTTTTATGATGCATAGTAAACATCTGTCATCATGTTTTCAGGAAAAGGAGGATGAGGAAGAAGACAAGAAAAGTGAGAAACTGGAGCTTGAGGATGAGCTGCTGTTCGAAGACTTCGAGCTGGGCGATGAAGACTGTGAACTTCCTGAGGAAGAGGAAGTGGATGTAGAGGATGGAGAACTTGAGGAGGCCGACGTCGAAGAAAGTACCAAAATGAAGATCCTGCGGCAAATAGCAGACGTGGCGTCCAAACTCAAAGAAATCGTTGGCAATCTGATTACCACTGCAGGAAAAGTAGTCGTAACCATATTATTGGGCCTCACAGGTAGGTAGTGTTGAGACAGACATCGCTCACGACACAGAATCAATAATCAGCATTCATTTATAAACTGAAGATGAATACAAGCTCAAGTGTGGTGTTATATCCCAAAGATCAAACAAAAAGAAATAAAACATCAGACCATTAAAAAGTAAGTGTTTACTCACCCTCAGGTCATCCCAGATGAGGATGGGTTTGTTTCTTCATCAGATTTGTAGAAATGTAGCATTGCATCAGTGTCTCAACAATGGATGCTCTGCAGTGAATGGGTGCCGTCAGAACGAGAGTCCAAACAGCTGATAAAAACATCACAATAATCCACAGCACTCCAGTCCATCAGTTCACATCTGGAGAAGACAAAAGCTGAAACACATCCAGCATTAAGACGTTTTTAACTAAAATACATTGAGTCTATAATGCATATTACTAATCAAACATTAAGTTTTGATATATTTACGGTAGGAAATTTACAAAATATTTTCATGGAACATGATCTTTACTTAATATCCTAATGATTTTTGGCATAAAAGAGAAATGTATAATTTTGACCCATACAATGTATTGTTGGCTATTGCTACAAATATCCCCCAGCGACTCAACACTGCTTTTGTGCTCCTGAGTCACATATGCTATTTATATTTGACCCTTGATGCAAATAAATGATGCACAGATTACTGGAGAAAACATTTTTACAGTGCTGTGTTTCCAAGACATTGTATTAAAAAGCTTTTTTTTTTTTTTTTAATTGTAAAAATTAAACATTTTAATTTTAATGCTCTATTTAAGCTTTTGGTTTGCATCTCAAAGCCACCGTCAGGCTCTATTTGGAGAGGTTTGATTTAAAGAGTCAATATTCAGTTTGCTTTCAGAGATCTGGATTTAGTCCTGTGTGTTTTCTGTGGCGTCTGCCCAGCGTTTCGCTCCAGGACAGACCTCGCGACAAACTCTACACTACTGATCTTTTATTTGTATAAGTCTTCAGGTTTGTGTGATGTGAGCTGTTTATTAAGCTGTACGTTTTCAGATCAAACCTTTCAGATCTGATGGTCTGATTTGATTTTGTGTTCATGCATTTCATAGTTATTAGCTCATATTTTCATGCTGTTTCAAACTTTTCTTCTTCTGTGGAGTAATGCAATGAATATCTGGTTGAGAGAATTCAGTACAATTGCAGTGCAGTATGACTGACTTTAATATTTAATAAAACATCCGAGAGTGTCAGCAAAACAACTGCACTTGCGATCATTGGTTTTCGTTGAAAACAATTTGATATTTAGCCAACTTGAAGCATGGTTATTATAAAGTAGTTAACTAAAACTATAACTAAAACCATAGAAACTTTAATTAAAATAAACTGAAGTAAAATATTAAAATAAACTATTTTCTTCTTAATGTAACAGCAAACTAATAATAATAATAAACATGTAATGAAATAAATACATTCCTAAAAAATAATTAATAAAATGTAAAACAGCAACAATAACAATAAGGAAATAATGGTTGTTTTTATTCTATTCATAGTTTTTATTCACTGTGAAATACAAATGATTGTTGTTGTTGTTTTTATCATTATTACTACATATAATGAAATAAATTAACTTCTAAAAATAAAAGACTTCAAAACGGCAAAACCGTGACCAAGCACTGCAAATAAACAATCCTTCTGACCTCTGAATGAAGCCAGTTTTAAAATTGTTACTTGGGTCGAATCCACGTCCTGAAACCTCACACGCATTCAAAGCCTCTATAAAAGACCCGATACTACACACGCGTCTGAAACCCAGCTCAGAAAACACAGCGAGGGCCAAACCAAACGCACACACGTGCAAAAAACCCTGTTACCTTCAGAAACACAATGTGCGGGAGAAGAATAAAAAAGGCGAACGTGCAGAGAAAGCAAAAAATAAGCATAGAAACGTGCTTGACTAAACCCCTTCATTCAACCACAAAGAATTAAGTGGTTTTTACAGGATTTAGCGGCTTCTTCCTAAAAAAACAAAACCTGAGAAACACCATATTAGAAAAGCATTACCTCTGAGACGGAAATAAAGAGCTTGTCTCTGACAATCACATAAACAGCACAATCAGAACCAGCTCTGTGGGTTTGATTACACACTGAGCTCTAAATATGTGGAAGTGCCAGGGAAGAGTCTATTTTGGGTAGACTAGAAAATGCACATTTAGCAAACCTAGAGATTGAAAGCAAATGCTTCTCTGTTGGTTTGTCTGTTGGGTGCAACCATGTTTTGCTCAGACGCTGCTCGTTTATAACTGGAGATATTCAGTGCATATGTCATATGTGACTCTGGAGCACAAAAGCAGTGTTAAGTCGCTGGGGGATATTTGTAGCAATAGCCAACAATACACTGTATGGGTCACAATTATACATTTCTCTTTCATGCCAAAAATCATTAGGATATTAAGTAAAGATCATGTTCCATGAAGATATTTTGTAAATGTTCTACCGTAAATATATCAAAACTTAATGTTTGATTAGTAATATGCATTGCTAAGAACTTTATTTGAACAACTTTAAAGATGATTTTCACAATATTTAGATTTTTTGCACCCTCAGATTCCAGATTTTCAAATAGTTGTATCTCCCAAATATTGTCCGATCCTAACAAACCCATGATCCTTCAGAAATCATTCTGATTTATTATCAGTGTTAGAAACAGTTGTGCCGCTTAGTATTTTTTTAAATCTCTGATACTTTTTTCAGGTTTCTTTGATCCATAAAAAGTTAAGAACAGCATTTATTCAAAATAGAAATGTTTCTAACAATAAGTCTTTGCTATCACTTTTTAAAATTAGTTTAACACATCCTTGCTAAATAAAAATAGTCTGAACTTTTGAACGGTAGTGTATATTGTTACAAAAGATTTTAAATAAATGCTGGTCTTTTTTTACTTTTTATTCATCTGATGCAGAAAATTCAGCTTTGCATCATACATTTTAAAGCATAATAAAATAGAAAACAGCTATTTTAAATTGTAATAGCATTTCACAATATTTCTGTATTTGGATCAAATAAATGCAGGCTTGGTGAGCAGAAGAAACTTTTGAACATCAGTGTATATGTTAGTCATGACTCGCATACCACGGTATTAATATCAGACACCTTCACTGTAACATGTTGTTAATGGATTTTATTATGAATGAATGCTATTTGTCTCATCTCCTCCTCAGTCTGTTTGGCATCTCTCCTGTGGTTCAGACGGACTGCTCTCACACCTGGATGTTCAGAGTCAACCCTGATCTGGAGTGGCACCACTTTGTCAATCCCATCATGCTCTTGGTGCTGTATTACACCCTGGCCACGCTCATCCGCCTGTGGCTGCAGGAGTCAGAAGACATGGTCAGACTACAGCCTTCCTGTTCATATGATCACAAAAGTCAAATAAGATTTCAACACCGAACATCTACATGTTTTTGTGAAGTTGTTATACTCCGTGAGCCTCTGTGATTAAGTGTTAGTCCAATGTGATGACATTAAATAGCATTTTCAGGGGGAAAAAAATGAGCACAACATGAGAGTTTAAGAATTCCTTGTTTTAAACCAGTAGCCAGACGATATATATGGGATGTATTTGTGATTGTGGTTCATCGGCAGGTCAGAGAGAAAGAGGGAGAGACTGAGGAACGAGAGGAACCAGAATCTCCTGAAAGCAATATGGCTGATTACACTGCAGAGAAGAAGAGGCAGCTGTGGCGAATGGCTCATTATCGCACAGATGAGAGACATGTAGGAGCTCCATTTCACTCTTTAGTGATGCACAGATACAGTGGTGTGAAAAAGTGTTGGCCCCTTCCCGATTTCTTATTTTTTTGCATGTTTGTCACACTTTAATGTTTCAGATCATCAAACAAATTTAAATATTAGTCAAAGATAACAAGTGAACACAACATGCAGTTTTTAAATGAAGGTTTTTATTATTAAGGGAAAACAAAATCCCAAACTACATGGCCCTGTGTGAAGAAGTGTTTGCCCCCTGAACCTAATAACTGGTTGGGCCACCCTTAGCAGCAACAACTGCAATCAAGCGTTTGCGATAACTTGCAATGAGTCTGTTACAGCGCTGTGGAGGAATTTTGGTCCACTCATCTATGCAGAATTGTTGTAATTCAGCCACATTGGAGGGTTTTCGAGCATGAACCGCCTTTTTAAGGTCATGCCACAGCATCTCAATAGGATTCAGGTCAGGACTTTGACTAGGCCACTCCAAAGTCTTCATTTTGTTTTTCTTCAGCCATTCAGAGGTGGACTTGCTGGTGTGTTTTGGATCATCGTCCTGCTGCAGAACCCAAGTTCGCTTCAGCTTGAGGTCACAAACAGATGGCCGGACATTCTCCTTCAGGATGTTTTGGTAAACGGCTGAATTCATGGTTCCATTTACCACAGCAAGTCTTCCAGGTCCTGAAGCAGCAAAACAGCCCCAGACCATCACACTACCACCACCATATTTTACTGTTGGTATGATGTTCTTTTTCTGAAATGCAGTGTTACTTTTACGCCAGACATAATGGGACACACACCTTCCAAAAAGTTCAACTTTTGCCTCGTCAGTCC